GGTGGGAACCACTGGTCTAAGATCTCGCTTGCATCAGTTTAGAAAATAATCCTAATAAAAACTAGTATAATATCTCAGAGCCACAAGATCCTTACATACCAGACCATGAAATAGTGGTAGCAAGTAATTGACTAAAATCTATTTACCAAAGGAAACTATAAACAACCCTAAATCATCCTTATAATTATTATAGAAAGGATAGTACTGTACCTGGGAGCCACTTGGCTCCTACATAACACGCATAGTCTGTGGTCCCTAAATACTAAACTACATGGAAAAAAAAAAAAATCACAGATTTTTGGTTAATATCCAAGTCTGTTCAAATTAAGCTGAGTTGCCTCTGGTGCAGGGGTCAGCAACCTATGGCACTCAAGGCTGCCCAACCAAACAGGCTCTGTTCTATCAGGACTCAGATATTGGCTAGTGTAACCTGAGTAGTGATTACAGTTGGTGAGTGACAATCCTCAATTTATGCATTGCAGCACTTAGAGGAAGTGATCTTCCAGCACCGGAGTAGAGCACAGCAGCTATTGCAGCTCCTGCTCTTGACCTTTATCTGGCCAGTCAGATCCCCACTGGAGTGGACACCAGGAAAGACACCCAAACTGCTAGAATTACACAGAGCTGCAGAAAAAGCCTCGATCACATACACATCATACAAACAGGGTTTTGGGAATTGCTATAGAAAAACTAGGCAAAAACGCGCAAAGTCAATCATCAGTCGCTAAGGCCTGCACAGTATTGTCATGTATATAAAGGTGCATTAATTCTCAGGACAAAAATATAATTTTGCCTCTTTATTAATCAATTGCAACACCACACCTTGAATATTCTGTGCAATTTTGTTCCAAAGCATGATATAATACTAGAAAAAGTGCAGATGCTGGCTACAAAATAAAAAGAATGGGGAATTTTAGTTATGAAGAAAGGTTAACAAATTTAAATTTGTCAAGTTTAGAAAAACGTCTCCTCAGGGTTATGATCGCATTATACAAATATAGTCGGGGCCAGTACAAACCATTGTCTGGAAATCTATTCATAAACATAGGACACAAGGTCAAGCATTTAGACTGGTAGAAAGGAGATTTAGTCTAAGTCAAAGGAAAGGGTTTTTTACGGTAAGAGCAATAAGGATGTGGTTTTCTCTGCTTGAAGAGGTGGTTTTATCAGAGTCTGTACAGATGTTTAAACAGCAATTGGATGAATACTTGCAAAAACATAATATTCAGGGATATCATTTTTTTAATATGTAGGGTAACAGCTTCTTGATCCAAGGAGAGATCTGACTGTCATTCAGGGGTTGAAAAGGAATTTTTTTCCTAGTTTGTTGCAAAATTGGAAAGTGTAATAGTAATAGTTTTTAGGGTTATTTTGCCTTCTTTTGGATCAACAGCAAAAACAGATGCAAGGCTGATTTTGATGGACGCATGTCTCTTTTCAGCCTTTGTAACTATGTAATACATGTTAATTAAATCCTTTAATATTCTGTAAAAAAAAAAAAATAATTAAATTTTTTAAAAGGTCTACAAAGTTTGATAAGACAAGCTCTTTGGGTAGAAATTTTTACATGTTTATTGTTCTTGCTTTTATAGAATTACTTTAAAGAATTATTTTGCCTGCAAAACACCTTCCAGCCAGTCTCAATGTGTGACATCTTGTCTGTTTATTCCTGCTAACGAACAGGTTAGCCCATAGCATTTTGCACTGACCCTGTACATGTTTGTATAGGGCGATTATATCCCTTCTAAAATTCCTTTTTTTCTAAAGAAAAACAAATGCAGCTCTTCTAGCCGCTCTTTATAAATAATGTTTTACACTCCCCTTAATTTAATTAACATGGTGTTGTAGGGCATATAAATTAAGAAAATAAAAGTTAAGGGGGGCTATTAAAACATAAAATCGCACAACCCATAAATAACATTTAGTTTGTTATAAAGTTACACTTAAAAGGCCACTATAGGCACCCAGACTACTTCAGCTCAATTCTGGGTGCCAGGTCCATCTAGGGTTAACTTTGCAGCTGTAAACCTAGCAGTTTCAGAGAAACTGCTAAGTTTACATTAGGGTTAATCCAGCCTCTAGTGGCTGTCTCATTGACAGCCGCTAGAGGCGCTTCCACGCTTCTCACTGTGATTTTCACAGTGAGAAGATGCTTGAGTCCATAGAAAAGCATTGAGAAATGCATTCCTATGGACTGATTGAATGCGCGCGTGGTTCTTGCCACGCATGTAGCGGATGACGTCGGAAGAGGGAGGAGAGTTCCCAGCGCCGAGGGAGTTGGAAAAAGGTAAGTGTTTAACCCCTTCCTCCCCCTAGAGCCCGACGGGGAGGGGGGGAGTACTATTAGGGTGGGAGGGGACCTATTAACACTATAGTGCCAGGAAAACGAGTTTGTTTTCCTGGCACTATAGTGGTCCTTTAAACCAACATAATTATTGTTTCCAATGTGTTAGTGCCTATATTTCCCCTTTAAAATTTTCACTTTTGGGATCCATGTATGTTTTTGCAACATCTCCATGCAATGTGACATATCCACTTAAAAGGTAGCACAATATACTGTACTTACCTGAACCTCTTCGTACCTCTGCAGCACAATCATCTACTTCAGGTCTTCAGCTCCCAGCAGCTTCATCTGTGTCACTATATTACTCTTGTGCCATAAGATAACACAAGCGTCTTCTGCTCATTGCATTACAGACAAGAAAATCCTGTCTACAGAAGCCAATGGGACATGTCAGGTGTAGCGGAATCTCTGGCATTTGTAATTTTCCCAAAATCAGGAGATACATCAAACAAAGTAGTCTCTACCTTGTGTAATGTATATCTTCTCATTTCACTGGAGTCTTGTACTCTTTTCAAATTTTTTAAAAAAGATTCTACTTTTAAATTTTTTTTAAAAAAAAACACAAAATAACAGTATAACTTTAAATCTACTACAGTGCTGAGCAATATTTTGCATTTAAGATATAAAACAAAAATCAAGGTTTATGATAAATATCGCATATGAAAATAGAACAGGATGAATCAAAGTTAAATTTAAAAAAAAATAATATATGGACAATGTGACTGCTACAGTGGTATGAAAAGTATCACAGACCAATATTTATGATTCATTTCTCAACATGAACGCAAGCAACTGATAATCACCTGAATTAACCCGCAAAGATACCATCGTGGGGCTTTAAGACAGGTAGACATTTTTCACAAGATTTTATAATGATATATGACAATACAGCCTGTCCTGACGCAACCGAACAGATAAAATCCGTACCCAAATGATGGAAATACACAACCAACTGCTAAAATACAGTGATAATTGGTCAGGATTGGCGGCTGCCTGCCAACAAATTCAGTTGGATAAAATCTGCAGGCAGACAGGTGCTCACTCTAATACAATATATTGTAGAAAAAGCGGTCATTTTTACTATTTTGGTATGTGACTCCATGGGGGAAAGGAATAACTCAATAGAGCTGTGCAAAATATTTAAAACATATTAAGGATATTAAAGTAGGACATTAGTCATAGTGATAATTAAACCCATAATACTGTATTAATTATTCTAACCATTTTGGCTGCTTCTGCTGGCAGTAGGAAAATAAAAAATGATTTCTGTAGGTTTATGTTTTACAATTGAATTTGCCTTTAGTAAATGTGAGAATTGCAGATTCTAATGGCATTCGGCCATTTTAACTAAACTTTGTAATCTGGACTGCATTCTGTCCTTGGTTATAAACCCTGGCATAATGTACTACTCGCTTATGTAATACATTAAACAAAGCGGACACTATAAAAGAAGTATATTCCTTCATGGTATATAGGATATGCACACAGACGAGATCATGGGGCTGCATGGAATGCTATTGTTCCTTAATACATTTTAAATAAACATAAAAACCTGGTGTCCTGAGAAAGTACAGTATATTACACTGCTTCTTGTCCAGTAATGTATATTATAACTGTGTATATACGTCTGATTTTTGTCTATATGAACTATACAAACATAACAGTTTCCTAAAGTGAGTGTTTATATGCAACCTGCAGTGTACTTCTACCAGCAGCTGCAAACGTTAAAATAGTATTCAACTAAGCCCAAGACTTAAACAGGCTTGCATATAAAAGTGCTGGGCCATATGTACAGTGCTGCGGAATTTGGTGGCGCTATATAAACAACAACAACAATAATAATAATAATAATAAGTGTGTTGCAGGACTAAGTGCTTCAAGTGAAGCATTCAGAAAGATCGATATATTGGTCCCCATGGTGATTGTTCTTGGTCCTATCCAGAGGCAAAGTGTTAAATAGTTGTCAATCACTGTGGCAACCAATAAAATGTCTCACCAAAATAAAACATAATTTGTAAATCTACCCCTCAGCATCATACAGATCAAGGCAAAACAAAATATTGTTTATCGTGCAGACTTCTCCATATTTAGAGCTCCTGAAATCATGAAGGCATTAGCCCGTATGTTTTCCAGAATGTAAACGACAGTTGGTGGTGTATTGCAATGTACATTTTTTGGCTGCAGTTACAAAAAGCACAATATCTGATGCCAAGCAGCTGTGGATAGAAAAGCAACTGGTTCTATAAATGCATTTTGCTGAAGACGTGATGCAGTCATCAAAATAAAACTCTGTCCAAGGAAGCCGCAGTATAAAACAATATTAAGTACAGCTTAATTTAAAGCTGTATAAAATAGTAATCCAGGGCGTTAAACTAACAGTCTAGTTTATCCAGTGAGTACCCCTTTTATGATGTATAAACGTAAATTGATTTATGGTTGGCACAAGGGAAGGGTAATATATAATGTAGATGTATACTGTTACAGAAAATTATAGTTGCAGAAAATGTGTAAGATTTCCTTATTTAACCTATAAACTGTGAGAAGAGATCTGTGAACAGTACGTCTCCCAATACAATTGCGAATGTTGTGGGGTATAAAATAAACTAATATACTCAGGTTTTAAACCTTTCAATGACAGACACAAATTAAATTTGCTGCGCATCACGAGCCACTGAAAGGGTTAAGTCAAGGAATATTTGCAAACATTACTAGCAGAGAAACCTTAAGTGAAATTATTTTTCACATTCATTTTGCTAAACAGTTAATTGAGATGAATTGCAAAGTTAAAGGCAAAATGTGCAATTTGGAAGAATTTCACAAATGAACTACTTTTCCAACTGTTTTATTTTGGCCTACATTTTGCAATTAACTGCTTATAGCTTACTTATATAGAAGATTACTCTCTAAAGGAATTCTATGATGTGGATGCACACTATTAACAATATAAAATTAAATTAAACTAGTTTTAGAATTGGATTGGGGAGATACCGGTAAGTCAGTTAAATACAGTATACAAAATAGTAAATACAGTATTTCACGTCTAAACAACATATGGATGAATGTGTATAACATTGTGTATTGCAAATATTGAAATCTATTGTAAAAATGCAGAATTACTGCACTAACTACAAAGAGGGATTTGATCAGACACAAATCAATGCAGCAAATAAGGCAGCTCTCTCAACACGGAAATACTTATTTACATCTGACACATACAATGCTATACAGGATTCTGCATCTAAGGACCAAACTATAGATAGGACTGAGCTCAAAACATCAATAATATTTTACAAATGAGAAAGGCACATATAGTATAAGAGTTTATAACTCTTCAAAGACTAGGAATGTATCTGGCACCTTTAATTAAATGTTGCTTAAGATGCTGCGACATGAAATGGTTGAGTAAAAAAAAAAAAAAGACATTAGCCAACACCTTATAATGAACATAAGTTATTGGTTGTTTTTTTGTTTTTATTAACAGCACTTTTAACAGTTATGGTATATTCTTCCCACTGGACATTGTGTACCGTTACCAACTGGAGATCATGCCTATGCAATGGGTATACCATACAACTGAAGCTTGCAAACCACCTCTGTAAACTAAATTGGTAGTCAAATTCCTTAACAAATCAGCTTTTGGTACATTAACTCAGCAGTTCAAACATGAAGGACACTAAACCAATGCTTGCAGCCTGCATTTGATTGAATGAGGTAAGACTCCTTATTAATGCCAATTTCAGACCTGCAGTGAAGCCCATATTGATGTGGTCACCACATTAATTCCCCCCAGGTGTAAATTTTATTAAAATGTTCTATGGGCAACATAATTACATGTGCAAGCTTACAAATTTACCCAGGACCTTAGGAGGATATTGAGGCTAAACAGATCAACTGGAAATGAAAGGTAGGAGAATTACCAGAAGGAAATCTATGAAGATCAAGAATTTTTCTGTAGAGCAGTTGAAATTTTATTTTTCAGCCAGTATTCAATAGACTCAAATTGTCAGTTCACAACATAGGTTTCCTAAGTAGAGGCTTGCTAAGGTCCTTGACTTCTTCTTGACTTCTCACTGTCTCGTATCCTAAGACCTCCATGGGCACCTGGCAATACTCTTCCACTTGTTTGACCTGCATGAAGGTGAGTGATGTCCTCCAGGCACTCACAGCCTGCGTAGCATTGCGAGCAGACACCACGAAAGGTTTAGATGAGTAGCCTGAACCACTGGTCATGTTTAGAGAGAATTTCTCTATCTCCAGACTAACTGAGAGATTTACAAACTTATAGACCTGCCTCAAAGTCTTAATGGGATCCACCACTAGATCCTCATACCTAACCACCATATAGTTACCCTTGAGCCAGCTTGGGGGGTTGAGAGCAGTTCTGAGGGTTTTCCCCATGCTGCTGCAGATCACTTCCATGGCACCTATGGCATGGTAGTCAGAACCATCCTTTTTGTTCAGTTTGTGTCCAGGGTCTATGAAGGACACCCTCCTGATCCTTGGATCCCTGCTACGTACAACCTGCAGGCTCTCCCTGATCAAGCCATGCCTAGATTTTATTCTGGAATTGGCTACTGCCCTGGGATCCCTGACTAAATGGATGACCTTCAGGTCCAAGGAAGGATCAACCATCAATGGGGCCAGCACGTTGATGTCAAAGATCCTCACTCCTTTAATCACTATGGTGTTGTACTTGTGGCACTCCTCCTCCAGCATGCTCAGGCTCTGAGGGGGGCATTTCTTGCACACCTTGTCATCCACCAGCCCCACTGTGTCCTTCTTGTAGGCCGAGCAGATGGGTGACGAGCAGATGACCTTATTAGTAGCTGCCCCGAAGATGCCCAAAGTGCTGATGTTCTTCGCACCAGCTGTGTTGTAGAGCTGCAGGGCAGAAAAGTCACACCGGTAGAGGGCGCTGAGGAGGTCCCGGGCAGCCCCTTGCAGAGACATGGCATCCCCTGGGTACAGTTTCTGCCACACATGCCATACTGGCTCATACAGGAAGAATACTTCGGGGTTCTGGTTAAAGAGCTCCCCAAAAAATGAAGAACCAGACCTCCAGGTGGTGAACACATAGACCAGCTGCCTCTTCCTTGGAGGCGAGGGCCGGTACAGGTAGCGGATATCTGAGCGGGTCTGGTAGGGGGTGTACCGTACTTGGTCATTGCATTGCTGGGGCTCTTTGTGCCATTTGTCCATGAGGTTAAGCATGGTAAGTACCAGCAGCAGTATGTAGCCCAGACAGAGGATGATCGCCTTTCTGCGGAACACTTTCATGCTGGGCTCCGGGGGCCGAGCACAGTGCTGGGGATGGGGGGTTGTAAGATTATCTGGAGTGCAGTGTCCTGGGATAACTGTTGCTCAGAAAGCCCCTCCGGTTGCAGCATGGGAGGCGATGAGCAAAGTTTAGGGAGTTCGGTCTCATGCCGGGGGTTGATCCCATAGCACCCCATTGAGGTCTCTAACGCTGCAATAAAAACAAGCTCGATCTGGCATCTCCCAGGCTTTCTGTCGCCTTTCCCCCTCCGAGATCAGGACTTCTCCAGGTTGGATCTCATAATGCGGGGATTGTGACGTGAAGTCTCCTTCCCAATAAACGGAAATCCCACGGGAAGAAGGAAAAAACAATTTTTAAAAAATGGGAGAAAAAAAAACACAGCTTTCCGTATTCTTGCTTCAAAATACGTTCAAACTTCTTCCAGATTGCAACAATGTATCACGGAACGCAGGGATACAGAGAGTTTCAGCCTGGGGTCAGAGAGCCTCAGCACAGCGAGAATAGAACACTCCAAGCAGGGGAGCGAGAGAGAGGACAAGCCAGGGGTCCTGAGAGCACTCCTCCTCCTCCTCCTCCCCAGCTCTCTGCAGTGTCTGGTTTACAGGGAATGCTCTTCACAAGACTCAGCTAGAACTCCAGCTTGCATTGGACGTGCAGATGACTTGTCCCTTCCCTGGATTCCCACAATGGCACCGAGCTAAGCCCTTGATGCTTATATGAGAGCTGGAAGCTGAGGGATGATTATTGGAGGTCTGGGATGCCATTCAAAAAAAGAGCTCCTCCTACATTATGTGCAGTGTCTGATGTTTCTACGTGTTGTAACTCTGGAGGGAGCTCACAAGAAACTGTACTGTGCCTTGGGGGGGGGGGAGAGGAAGACAGACAGCATTAAAAGCAACAGGGCTCAGTGAGAGTGTTATGTGGCACGGTGTAGATGACATGCTCATTGGTGTTAGTCTGAGAAAGGCTGTAAATTACCCCAGCTCTTTCTGCGTCATATGCTTCATTGAAAGCATCACTTTTAGTAGAAGGAGATAGGACTGTGCGGATCTGATGTAGTGTAAATTTTAGTAGAAAGTGGGTTAACTGCAGTATTTCCTAGGAACTGTGTATGTGGCATTACGTATTTCTCATCGATGGACCCCAGGTTTGGCTTACACCCTATAGCAATAATGTATGCGGGTGTCCGTTTCGGGGTTTTAAGGCATGTTTACATTAAAAGAGTAAATGAGCTATGAGGTTTTTCAATGTCTTTTTCAGATCATTAAAGGGACACTATAGTCACCCACACCACTTCGTGTCACTGAAATGGTCTGGGTGCACAGTGCACCATCCCTGTCCCCCTTAGTCCTGCAATGTAAAACACTAGAGGAGCTTCCTGCTGTTTCATGGAGTTTGACTCTGAAATAAAGTGTTTAACCAGTAAAAGGTACATTCAGTTAGCTCTGGTATTCAAGTACGTCCTAGTACATTACTTTTGCCCCGCATCCAGGGGAAATGACGCTGGACGTCCTGACTCTTTGCATCTTCAAACTCCCCATAGAGAAGCATTAGTTAAATAATGTGTGACAATTTCTCATGTATGACAACTTCTCTTCCTGGCCACTCTGTGAAAGTAGAGGATGAACCAGAAGGTGAAAATTGAAGATGGTGTGCACTGCAGCGGCTGTCATGCCGGTACCGGTAAGTTATAGCACCTGATGGACACCACAACTGCTTATTGACTAAAGGGAAGTTAAAAGGTTTCCCTCTCACTCCCTCCAATATGTGTGTATGTGTGTTTGTCTGCATGTCTGTGAATAAGTATGCGTGGATGTAGGTGTCTGTCTGAATGACTGTATATATGAGTTTCTGTCTGTTATTGAATGTGTCTCTCTATGCATAGGTCTGTGAATTTGTGCCTGTGAGCCTATAGGATGTGTGTATGTGTATCCAAAGAGGCAGTAATGCAACATGCATATAGGAACCATATGTGTACATTGTAAGCAATAAATAGAGGGAATGCAAGGGTCCAATTTGAGGGATATGTAAATTTACATGTAGAAATTATTTCTTTACAATACTGTTTTCTGATATAAAATGTTGGTAAACCGTTTTTTACATTTTTACAGTGTAACAAGAACATTTTTGTTTCCATTAAATAATGTGCTATCTATGTATACTGAAACAAAAACCACCTTTAAACATTACTTTTCACGACATGCTCGAATTCTGGTGGTGAATTATTTGTAAAACCACTTGGTAGTGGGGTTAACTTTAAGATTAATGCAAAAGATACCTATAGGTTGTCTTTAACCGCTAGCAACTTAGTGCCTTATTTACTAAATAGTGAAGCGAGAAATGATTTGTAAAAGTTATGCAAAAATAGTGGGGGAAAAAGCCCCACTTTGCAAAGTTGGAGTTTTTTCCGACAATATCCTATTTTTGTTTGTGTGTTTAGAATTCTCACCGCCAGTCACTATTTAGTGAATGTACTTCGGAGTGTTCTAAACCCTGGATTTTTGCAGGGTGACTACAATTTGGCTAAATTTTATGATAGACGCAGCAGATCCTATTTTATGAGACTGATCTACTGTTTCAGCAGGGGATTGATAATAATAATCATAGACCCAAATAGGTATAAGTAAACAATAATAAATGTGACTGTTTAATGTTTTTACAGAGTTATTTATTAAAGTGAGAATTCTCGGTAATTCAAAATGAATTAAAAATGTTAAACCAAAATTGTTGAACTGGAAGCTTAGATGACTTGGAGAATTTTTCTATTTTGGACTTAAATTTGATTCTCAATTTAGAAATAATAACCCTGTTAGTATATCAGAGTCTTGATTTACTCATTTCATAAAGGAAACGAAAAACACACCAAAACCAGACCTCGCCACGTGCTCTTGGAGGGGGCTGCTCCGCCTCCTATGGCCCTGGGATATATGGCATTTGAAAACACTATTTGTGCCCTGCGACAAAACTGGAGATTGTGCACAAATATGACTATTGTCCATATTTTTTATGATTCCCTTCGATTGTTGCACTGTGCCCCATGTGTTTCATCTGTTGGCCCGGCTGGATAGACTACCAGACAAACTGTGGGGTTACTGGGTGGCCACCATTTCATGTATCAGAGGCACATGGTGAGAACAATGGATGAAGCACATGGTGAGAACAATGGATGGCGGCCATTTTAACTCACAGACACTGTTTGGACTTTTGTACACGGTGCCATCTCGCCGGTATTTGGTGCACAAAGACATCGTGCAGTAGTTTTAAATACAACAGGGGACACATTATACAGTAATTATTTTTCATATAGCCTGTATATGTTCTGTGGAATCTGCATTAAACTGTATCTTCCAAACTACTGAACGGATCTGGGTGAATTTTGGATATGTGGTTCATCCAGATACCCCGGTTCCAAGGATATATGGGGTTATTGCATGTTTTGGGGTCCCTGTGATATGTTTTATAATACTGTATTTCTCTGCCTGTGATAATTATATTAACTATTGTGTTCAGTAATCATATCACAGGCAGAGGGGAGGATTTTGTGTGGGAGTGTCTGTGCGTATTGTACGGATTGATTGGTTGTATTTCAAAACCCTGTGGGCAGTACTATGTTTGTGGATTGTGAATAAAAGAGGCTGTATGTGCCAGTACAGTCAGTTCTGCTTGACCTCAAAATGAAGTGTTGTCTCGTTATTGGAGGAATTGGATTGTGTGCTGATTGCCAGGAGTGTAAGCTTATTGTATGCTTTTCCTGTTCAGCTGCTTACAGCATTAATATGCTTGAGAGCATTCGTATGCTTCTCCGGTTCGGTGGTTGTGGTGTCTGCTGCAGTGCTTGGAGTCTTCAGGAAGCGCTAGGAGCAACGGAGGTACCCAGTTGGGGTGCCAGGTGATCCATTACATTGGTGGCAAGCAGTGGGATGGTGTCCTAGTGCGAGGTAAAGCAGCTCAGAGACACCATTCATGGAGTTACAAATTGAGGGCAACGCTAGCACAAGTGCAGCTCCCCTGGGAGCAGAGGTATCCAGCGACTTGGAGCAGATAAGTATGGAAGGCTCTGGCGACGATTGGCTTGCTGAGGTGAGGCAGCGAGTGGCCCAGTATGGTGATAATGTGCCCATGGATATCTTCCAGGCGATCTGGAACCAGGTCACAGCCGAGCGAAACGCAAGGATGGACCGAGAATTCCGGCTGGCGAAAGAGAGAGAATATGCTCAGCGGAATGAGTGTTACAGCAGCCAAAGAGAGGCTGCATTCGAAGCGGCCAGAGGAACCCAAAGTAGGGGTCCTCATAGACTGGTCCTGTGAGGAACCACAACAGGCAGGTGGAGATGGGACCGAGGTCTCTCCACCGGGCCCAACAGGATGCTGGGCAGCCGGCCCAGATCCCCAGCAGCAGCCGGAGTTAGCGGGTGCGGAAGCCAGTGGTCCTTACTCGCAAATGTTGAGGGACCTCACAGACTGGTCCTGGGAAGACCCACAGATGGCAGGTGGAGATGGGACTGCGGTCTCTCTACCGGCCCTACAGGGATGCTGGGCAGTCGGCCCAGATCCCCAGCGGCAGAGTGAGTTTCAGGAAGGGGGACAACTGGTCCCCCCCCAGCAGCAGAGTGACTTACTGGGAGAGGAGAGCCTTGTCCTCCCTCCCCAGAGGCAGAGTGTCCAGCAGGGAATAGAGAGCCCAGTCTCCTTTCCCCAGCAGCAGGACACTTTGTTGGGAGCGGAGACAGTCGGTCTCCCTCCCCAGCGGCTGGAAGTATGTATGGGAGAGGAGCTTGTTACCCTCTCTCTCCCAGCAGCAGCCTAGCCCACCAAGGGGAGATGATAAGCCCCACATCGGCGCAGACGGGACCGTGGTTTAGCGCCCAAGCTACAGGGAGTACGGACAGTCGGTCCTACTCCCCAGCAGCAGAGTATTATATTGGGAGTGGAGACCATCAGTTCACCTCCCCAGCGGCAGCCTAGCCCACAAAGGGGAGATGCTAAGCCCCACACCAATGCAGATGGGACCGTGGTCTCTGCACATACATCACAGGGGGTAGGGATGGTCGGTGCTGTCCCCTAGCAGCAGGGTTGTTCATCCAAAGGGGAGACAGCCTGGCTTCCCCTCCAGCAGCAGCCCCAGGTCTGGAGTGAGGAGCCTACTACGCCATTCCCTCACCTGGGCTCCAACCAGGCTACTCCTGTGGTAGCGCTAACAACAGGGCAGAGTACTGCTGGTCTCTGCCCACTCAG